TTAATTAAATATAAAGTATATATTTATACTACATAATATTTTAATATTAAATATCTTAATTAAATATATTCATGTTATACATTCATTTAACTCTGTCTTATGGTTATAACTAGGTATGCCTAAGCATTTTGAAGTATGAATAATCTCTGAAATTACCAAATTCTTCCTGAAATTTGGAGATTATTAAAGTAGGAAAACAAGAAACAACTGGTAGGGTCTCTCAACACTTCTAAATATTAACTGTCTAAAGTACATAAACCAGAAGCAAAGTAAATCATCTTCAGGAAGTGGGACTGTCCTTCCATACAGAGTGTTAGACTGACGTAGGTATGACATACATGTGAGTTAGGAGGGCTCTGATCAAATACTATTCACTGAAATACCAGAGGTGCTGGCAGGGCTGGTGTTGTTGACTTTTGGAGGTTCTCATGAGTTTTGGTCACTTTCTTGTCGAGTCTCCATTAATGTCAGGACACTTGCTAAGATGAGCAGTGGCCTATTAGGCGACTGTGGCAAACGATGGCTGTGGATGATGGCTATCGGGTAATGTTAGAGATGTCCCCTCAACAATAGGTAATAATAAAGTCCACATCTCCGTGGCATGAGCTAGGGAGCCCTTCAAATAAGAAGTATTCAACAACTATAAGCACCTACCATGTGCGGGGCATGGTACTGGTGACTATTAAAAAGGGGGCAGGGGCAGATACCAGTGAAATTTAAAAAAAATAGTACATGAATCAGACACAGTTCTTGCCTCAACTGAACCTATTTATACCCCTCCGCCAAAGTCTGGTTTTTGTTTTTGTTTTGTTTTTCCATATTCTTGTGCTTTTGCTCAAAGGCTGCTCTCTCTGCCTGGAAAGCTTTTAATCTGTTCCTGTGCCTTCTCTGACTCTAAGGACATGGACTGCGTTGCTTCTCTCCTGTCCTTGGCGCCTGGTTGGAGCTGTCACTGCACTATGTTATTGTCAGCTGTCTGCCTCCCTCTCATGAGTATGAACTCCTTGAGGGCAGAGACTGGATCAATTTCTGTTTTTCTTTTTGTAATCCTACCTTTCAGCACAGACCTGTCCCAAATCAGGTAGTTGGAAAATGTATGTTGAATAAACAAACAAACACAAATAATAGCATTTTCAAGAAAAAACCAAAAGGAAAAAAAAGGTTGAAAGAGGAAGCTCTATTTTCACTGAAAAGGGAATTAGCAGTATGTTGGGAGATGTGTATCTGAGTGCATTTGACTGGGAATCAAAAACTATGAAAAAAAAATTCTCCCCAAGGTAGAAATTTTTTTTAAACAAAAGATGCAAAGTTTCAAAAGGCTTGTATTATTGTTGACTGTAAAAACAATTCTCAAAAACA